ACAATGTGGCTTCTGTTCCCACCACACTGCTAAACTGTTCTCACTAAAGTCCTCAGGGATCTCCTTGGTGGTGTGACTCCTGTGCTCTTATTTCTTTGGCCTCTGTGGCATATGGCACTTCTGGGTGCCCTTTTTCTTCACACGTCCTTTCTCAGGGCCACGGGCCCCTGCAGCACCTGGCTGTCTCTCACACATTCCATCCCCTTTGCTGCCTGCCCCCTCCTTTTTTGCCCCACGGCCCAGGAGAGGTTCTCAGGCCCCAGTCCTTGGCACCCTCCTTCCTCTACGCTCCTGCTCTTGGGGTCACAAGGATGATTTTGGCTCCAAGTCTCTTCCCTGTGCAGTTCATTCCCTAACAGGTATCTCAGCTTCTGACTCCTCTCCTCAATAACTTCCTAAAACCTGCTGGACCTTTCCACCCAGATACAGGACTAGGACCTCCGATTCAACATGATCAGACTCACCACTCTTCCCTCTCGCTTGGCTGATTCCATTTTCTGTTTCACTTGTGTTATTCTTGGGCCTTTTTCCTCTCTCTTCACTCCAGCCAAGGAGTCCAACTACCTGTCCTTCCGTTTTATTTTTCATTTGCATGAAGGTCTCATTGCCTCTCATTCACACTCACTCAATTCCTCTCTTTCTGAATCCACAGGTTCAGGTAATAAACTTCCCTAAGCTCACCTTAAATGATTCCACAAATAGTCAGCAAACTTTAGTGATTTCAGATTCTGTATCTGACATTGTTCTTGGTCTTTTGCATACTGCATCTTATTTAATCCAATCATATAATAAACACATAACATAGACATTAATCTTATGGAGGCTCAGAGAAGTTAAGGTTTCATGGGACTAGAGCTGACACTTGTGGCTCCTGATTTCAAAGCCAGGGATCTTTCCATCCCCACCCGCCTGCTTTGTGGCTACACCTTACTTATTCGATTCAGTCTAAACATTTGCCTTGACTTTGAAGAACTTCTGCAAAATGACCCATCTTTATATTAATGTTTCCCCAGCACTCTCCCAAGTACATCAAGCCAAGTTACTCTCAAGCATTGCACATATTTAAACTTTTCCAAGATTTACTAGTTTGGCTCATTTTATTAACTTCCTTTCACAATACTCTCCACTAGCCCAACAAGGGCTACAGAAATCTAATCTGTTAATAGGTACCTCAAATGCCACCTCTTCCATGCAGCTTTCCCTGCCCCACCCTTAGCTCTCCTGAATTATTTGTGCACTCTTATGATTTTTTGTCTTGAATTGTAATTCTTTCAGTGCTTCATAGGGAAGAGATAATCTTACTTTGTTTCATAATCTCAATCCTTGGCTAGAATATAACAGACAACAGGAAGCATTTGTTGAATAGATAAAATAAACAGTGAATTCATGGGTAGCAAAAAACTGTATTTTAACACACTGTCTTGGGCTCTGAAACAGATCAATAAAACTTAGTTAGCTTATACGGAAATTAAAAGTTGATTTCTTTAAACAATCCTATATGGTTCTCTTTGGTTCCCAAATGCTGGTTTATTATGTTTTACTAGAATATGTCCTGAAAAAAAGTAGTAATTTTTTCCATAAAACTAATTTCCACTGAAGAACTTTTATTATGAAATTATTCCCTTCCTGCTTTTTTTCTGTTTAAAATAGTCTTTCTCTTATGGAATAATTGTGTGTTGATCATGGTTGAGCTTTTGTGTATCTTCATTGGTAAAATGAAAAGTCGATAACTTCCGCTCCAGTTTATTCATTCATGCATTCATTCATTCATTTGGGAAACTTGACTGCATTGTGAAATCTCAAAGTGTGGAGGCCACTGATTTTGTCAACTAAACTGGGTTAGTCCTGATTAGCTTCTTAAACAAAGCTGCCTCCAAATAATATTCATGAAACCAAAGCAAAAATCTGTTCCTTTTGTGTATTGTATTTGCTATGGAAACAGTTATTATTGCCATTTCAAATGTGTTGGTATTTTCAAATATGTTGATATTTGAGTAAGTCAAGGCATATGGACTAAATTTTCTTTCTTTTTTTGTTACTAAAATTATACATCAATCTTCCTTTAAAGCATGAGTTAGGAACTATGCTTAAATTTTTTGTGGATCTCTTTCTAAATAGATTTTGAACTATCAGTGGATATAGGAAATAGTTGTTTTGTTCCTTTCCTTATGACCTGTAGACAGCTGGAAAAATACACTGCATTTTCTTTCTGATGCTTGATCTTTTTGGTCAGGATCCTAAGGGCGGGGGGGTTGAATATATGATTTTGATTAACAGAAACAAAATATGGTGACTTCCTTCTCCTAATTTAGTTTTCTCATCTGTTCCCCATCTTCCTCCTAATTTTCTAGATCAGAGAAATGTAACTTCCTGTTTAGTTTCCTGTGTTGTTAATTTGAAGGATCTGGATAAAACTAGAAGAGGAAAATTACAGCTTGACATAGAAAGTTTGAAAAGGCAAAAACTTGTGGCATCCAAAATGATATTCTTTATGGAGCCTAGATAACGCAGAACATTGTTTTTGCCATATGAGAAGTATTTTACTTTTAGACTATTCAGAGTGAAAGCTGAAATTAGAAAGGCAAGAAAAGCAAAGCACAAATGGACTAGTGGGTTAGAAATGTGCTGAGATAGTCCTTCACAATTCCAAAATAAAAGTTTTCTTTAAAAATAGAAAAACTACTCTGGGACTTTTTCACTAATTCATTTAAAATCTGCTTAAATCTACATGTTCAAAAATGTTCAAACACATTTCTTGTTATCTTCGTGAACAATTCAGAGTTAGAACAACCATATGTAAATAAAATCAGGAAAACTTTATTTATTTGCAAAGGAAGTTGGAAATATTAAGGAACACCTGGATATGCAAATAATAAACCATTGTTTTTTATAGAGTCTTATATGTTAACATTGATACTCATATAAATGCATTGGTTCAAGCAGGTCAAATACATATATATCATTTAACTTTTTATTTGAGTTGAAATGAATTTCATTGTTTACCTGTCATGGGCCACTTAACTAGTCTAGTTAACTTTTAGAGTGGTGGGAATGAAAAATGGGAAGTGAGGTGTGGGATGGGGTTAGAAGGAGGTGGTTGTAGCACTTTTATAAAGTATTTATTTTTCACTAGAAAGAGAATGGTGTAAATAACTTAAGGAATCCTACATCAAATGCTAATAACAAAACAAAACAAAACAAAACATTCTTCTAATTGCAATTAAGTGTATTTTACGTACTTAAAGCTTAAAGCTTATAATTTTTTTCTCATGATAAAAGCAATCTATATTCATGTATTTAATTTAGGAAATATAGAAAACCAAATGGAAGAAATAAACACCCATCATTTCACCACCCAGAGATAGATTTTGTATAACATTCCATTCATTTTGTATCAAGATGATATCACATTGTAGACCTCATTTGTAACTTGTGACTCTCATATGATAGTATTATTAATGTCCTTTCATATCAATAAATATTGATCTAAAACATTAATTCAATGTATAATAGAATTTCATTGTTGGAGTCATCATTTTATTTAAGCAAGCCCTTGTTATAGGGTGTTTTTGTTATTTCTGTGTTTTTGTTTTTATGAATAATGTTGTAAGGAGTATCCTTGAGCATTCATCTTTGCCTACTGCACTGATTATTCTTGGGTATGGATAAATTCTTTTTAGTATGGGTGCTGCCAAAGAGAGCAAGTAGATATGGATAAATTCTTAAATGTGAATTGTTGAGTCATTTTCATAAGTCTTTTAATATATATGTTCTCCTGCCCTTCAGACAGGTTGTACAAGTTTTCATGCATGCCAGCAATGTGTAAGAGTGTGCTTTGTTTTTAAAGACTGTTATTTCTCTAATTGCCAACTAATGCTGTTAAACATTTCTACATAATTTTAGTTGCCTTTTTCTCGAAGACTAGTTCCCCATATGTCTCTTAGAGTATTTGTCTTCTCATATTGATTTGTGAGAGACATTATATATTAAATATTTTAACTTTTTATCTGTGAAAGGCAGTTATTTATCTAAACATACCATTTCTCTTTTAATGGTAGTCATAGCATTTTTACATACATTTTTCAGTTATCAAATTTTCTTTTCCAGTTTCTACTTTACTCACCCCACTCAAAATATATATAAATACATATATTAATAAAATAGTGAATAAATTTATTGTCACAGGTATTTTGTCTGCAGAGGTGAGACTCCATAGTTTTGACATCAAGAACATTTTTACTCTATATACTAACACAAGCATTTTAATCACAATTATACTAACAATATGATTATGAAGATGTTTTCATTGTAAGCACCATTAGGCTAATTTAATTCTTTGATCAAATTCTTTACAATTAAACTACTTCCAGTTTTTGTTTTTTCATTTTCCTTTGTTTTTTTTTTAAAGATTTATTTATTTATGCATAAAAGAACTGGGGTACAGGCCAGAGGTGTGGAGGGTGAGAGGATTCACCAGAGACAGAGTGGGAAACAGAACAGGTAGACTGACTGAAATACACTGCTGAGGGGAGCAGCAGGTGAGTCAGCTGAGGTCTCCTGCGCTATGGGTGTTGCTCCCTAGCCAGCCGGGAATCGAACTCATGCCACAGTGGCTGTGGATAGCTTCATAGGTTGTGTCTTAACCCCTTGCGCCACCAGGTAGGCCCTCATTTTCCTTTGTTATTTTAATGAGATTGTTTCTTATCAGGATTAGTTCTTCATGTAAATTTACAATGAAGATTTGATTTTTTGGTAAGATTTTTTTTTTTTTTTGTCCATATCAAATTCTAACAGAAATCTGCTATTTTGGGTTTGGTTTTTTTTTTTTTTTGTCATTAATACTTTTTACAAGCTCAGTATTCCCAAGCCACAATTTTATAGCTCTGATTTTTGTAAAATGATGTGATTGTCCAAACAGTTTTTTCTTTTATTGCAACTACAACTTTGACTCTGTGCAGTCTGGGCCATTGTCTTTATTTTGTGTGTATTATTTCCATTAGTAATTTTCATTACAAATTGGATAAAAAGCTGATGAATTGACAGTTGATGTAAATGTAATCTGCTACCAATCCACTCAAGAGAAGAGAATGGGACCCTGTTATCAGCCCAGGGAGGTAAGTAATATGGTGGTTTAAAATATGTCCATAATTTTCTTGATATTTCCTTCCAAAGACGGAGCCTCGTTCCCCTTCCTTTCCATATGGACTGGACTAAGGGACTGAATTCTAAACAATAAGAAAAATGCACAAGGCATCGTTACTACAACTGGGTCATTGCAGACTAGGGCACAGAAGGCATTGCCGCTTCCTGCTTGCTCTCTCTTGGATCGTTACCCTGGGTAAATCCTGCTGCCATGTTGTAGGGACACTCAAGTAGCCCACTGAGAGGCTCACTTGGTGAAGACCTGCCTACCAGGTGTACGTGAGCCCTCTTGGAAGCCCAGCCTGCAGTCCCTGCCAAGCTGCCCCTCAGGCAACATCTCATGGGGGACTCAGCTAAACTGCACCTGAGTTCCCAACCCTCAGAAATTGTGTAAAATATTTAGGGTCAGTTTGTTATGCATCAATAAAGAGAATATGACACTGAGCTGGGTTGGGGTCAGAAGAGACTTCCCGAGGTGGCACCTGGTTAGTGGTTTGCTCCATCAATGAAGCTGTAGCAAATGCCCCTCCCTATGTCATTCCTCTACTCCAGCCTCTTGCACACACTCTCCCTCAGCCTCACCTCTCTAACTTCCTGTCTGTATCCTTCTTCCCGTTCCCATTCTCTCTCTCCCTCTCCTTTTTTCTTCACAGACAAATAGCAAAGGGAAGTGTTATATAAATCACTCTGGAGTTTTGATTAGAAGAAAACAGGTTTGGTGATAACATGTTTTTCTGTTAAACAATATTCACTTCCATGGTGCAGACTGATATGTGACAGACCCTCCTCCTAATCTGCCAACAGCCTGTTCATTCATTTTGTGCCTGTTGTGAGTGGCCACCACAGGATTTTAAATGAATTCTTTGGGAAGTAGCTATTTTTTATTTATATTTTTTACACCCTTATTCATTTTTAAACAATGTTAGCTCCCCCCCACCCAAGGTGTAGTCCCCATAGAGTTTCTTTCACCAATGCGCCTATGAACCATCACTTCAGTCCCCTGTGTTCCTCCTTCCCTCCCTCTGATCCCTCTTCCGCCTCCTCCCCTGCAGGATGTCTTTGATTTATGATTGTCTGTTTTTGTTTTGTTGTGTTTTGTACTGTTATTATTTTTTTACACTGATATCTTATTTGGTTCCCCTGTATTCCTCCTATACGTGAAATCATCCAATATTTTTCTTTTTACTCTGACTTATTTCACCGAGCATAATCCCTTCTAGCTCCATCCATGTTGCTGCGAATGGCATGAGTTTATGGGAAGTAGCTATTTTACAGTTAACTAAACCATACTGTGCTATTTTTCAAAAAAAAATTTCATTTGATGTGGTGAAAATGCTTTCAGAAGTGCCCATTCTACATAGAACCGTCTTGGCCTCAGTTCTTTACCATGGTCTCTCTATAGGCTGCTTGAGTGTCCTCACAACATGGCAGCCAGATATGCCTGGAGCAAGTGATCCAAGGGGGAGAACACATGTGGAGACAGAAGATGTGTTTGTGGTTTGTGTAAAACTTAGATTTTCAAATGGCTTATTTATTCCTGTCATTTAGCCAAATAAAGCTGTTTTTTAATAGAAAACCCCTTTCAATATATATCATTTAACAAATAGAAATCTGACTTAACTTTTCTTTTTGGAGATAAAATTGGAAAGATGGTAATCATTAAGCTGAAAGTGAGGAAGATATTTTCACTGTTATCCATTATTTTCCTTGTGCCAATAGAAGAGGAAAACTGGGATGAAAATCCAGCAGAAAGCTCCCCCAGAAGACAGAGATGGCTCCTGGAAGAGCCAGAGGGGAGCGGAGAAGTTCACCCAAGATGTCAGTCAGTCCGAGCAACACAGTGTCCCAACGCATACGACAAATTAGAAAACAGACAGTAGGGAGTAGAAGAACCACACGCAACCTAAAAACTCCTCAGGAAAGAAGCACACCACAAAAAGAAAACCACTCCCCAGATTGCAACGACAGCAACTTGGAAGAACTTCTGAGCCTTCCAGAAAGAGAATTTAAAATTGCCATGATTAAAAAAGTGATAGATCAGAAGAAGGAAATTGAGTCCCTAAAGAGGGAAGTAAGAGAAATGCAGGAGATCAAAGAATTAATGGAGGAACTAAAGAACTCTGGGAAAAGCAATGAAAGCAGAATAGATGAAATGGAAGAACGAATAAGTAATCTTGAAGACACAGAAATAAAAAGAACCAAAACAGAAAAGGAAAGAGAAGTACGAAGGAAAAAGAATGAAGAAAGACTTCGGGAACTATCTGACTCCATGAGGAAAGGAAATATAAGAGTTATAGGAATTCCAGAAGGAGAGGAGAGAGATGTAGGAACAGAGAAAATATTCATGGATATAATTGAAGAGAACTTCCCAAATGAGAAGAAGGAGCTGAAAATTGATATACAAGAAGCAAGAAGAACACCAAACTTCCACGACGAAAGGAAAAACACAGCAAGACACATAATAGTAAAGCTCCCAAGAATCCAGGACAAGGAAAAAATAATGAAGCTGACAAGAGGGAAGAAACAGATAACATTCAAAGGAAAACCAATCAGGCTGACATCAGACTTCTCTGAAGAAACACTACGGGCAAGGAGAGAGTGGAGGGACATAGTCAACAGACTCCAAGAAAACAGATGCCAACCAAGAATACTCTATCCCGCAAAGCTCTCTTTCCTCCATGAAGAAAGAATATGGACCTTCCCAGACAAAGAAAAACTCCGGAATTTCATTGCGACTAAACCCCCACTCCAAAAAATACTACAAGGAATCCTAAAGCCAGAACCTCAGAGGGACGAATAACAACGAAAGAAGACCAAAAAAAAAAAAAGTTATTAAAAGAATAAATAAATAAAATCAAAGGAAAGACAAACATAATGGCAAATACAGATGCTAACATATCAATATTAACTCTAAATGTAAATGGACTAAACTCTTCAATAAAAAGACACAGAGTTGCAGCCTGGATTAAGAAACAAAACCCAACCTTTTGCTGTCTCCAGGAAACACATTTAGCTACAAAAGATAAAATAGGCTCAAAGTCAAAGGATGGAAAACAATCCTGCAAGCAAATGGGCCAAAAAAGAAAGCAGGAACAGCTATACTTATATCAGATAAAACAGACTTCAAACTCAAAAAAATAAAAAGAGACCCCAATGGTCACTACATTATGATTAAGGGGACAATACTTCAAGAAGAAATAACACTCATTAACATATACTCACCAAACGAAAGAGCACCAAAATATATCAGACAACTGTTGTCCTCTCTGAAAACAGACATCAGAGAAAACACATATGTAGTGGGAGACTTCAACACACCACTATCAACAATGGATAGATCAACAAGACAAAAAATAAGTAAAGAAACTAAAGCTCTAAATAAGGACCTAGAGCATTTGGGCTTAACAGACATCTATAGAACACTAAACCCAAAAAAAACGGAGTACACATTTTTCTCAAGCGCACATGGATCATTCTCCAGGATCGATCACATACTGGGGCACAAGACAAACATCAACAGATACACCAAGATTGAAATCATACCAACCATCTTTTCTGACCACGAAGGCATCAAACTAGAAATAAATCATAAAAAGAAGGCAAGGAACTATCCTACCTCATGGAGATTAAAAGCCACACTACTGGAAGACACTGGACTAACGAGGAGATCAAAGAAGAAATTAAAAAATTCTTTGAATTGAATGACAAGGAGGACACCAATATCCTAAATGTATGGGATGCAGCAAAAGCAGTAATAAGAGGAAAATATATAGCAATAGAAGCTCACATCAAAAAACAAGAAAGAACTCAAAGAAACAACCTAATCTCGAAGCTCAAAGATCTAGAAAAAGAACAACAAAAAAACCCCAGAACCAGTAGAAGAAAAGAAATAATAAAAACAAAGCAGAAATAAATGAAATTGAAACTAAAAAAACAATCCAAAAGATCAATGAAACCAAGAGCTGGTTCTTTGAAAAATAAATAAAATAGACAAACCCTAGCCAGGCTCACAAAGGAAAAAGGGAGAAAGCACAAATACACAGAATCATAAATGAAAGAGGAGAAATCACAACGGACACAGCAGAAATCAAAAGAATAATCAGTAACTACTATGAACAGTTATATGGAAACAAGTTCAACAATCTAGAGGAGATGGACAAATTCCTACAACTCTACAATCACCCAAAGCTAGATAAAGAAGAAATAGAACACCTAAACAGACCAATTACAAGCAGCGAAATTGAAATGGTAATTAAAAACCTCCCCAAAAACAAAAGCCCAGGACCTGATGGATTTACAAATGAATTCTACCAAACATTCAGAGACGAATTAGTGCCTATCCTTCACAAACTCTTCCAAAAAATTGAGAAGGAAGGGACAATACCAAACACGTTCTATGAAGCCAATATTACACTAATACCAAAACCGAATAAGGACAACACAAAAAAGGAAAACTATAGGCCAATCTCCCTAATGAACACTGATGCAAAAATCCTCAATAAAATTTTAGCTATCAGAATCCAACAATGTATCCATAAGATAATTCACCACGACCAAGTTGGATTCATTCCAGGGGCACAAGGATGGTTTAACATCCGAAAATCAATCAACGTTATCCAACACATCAACAAAAAGAAATATAAAAACCATATGATAATATCAATAGATGCTGAGAAAGCTTTTGACAAAGTGCAACACCCATTCATGATAAAAGCCCTTGAAATTCTTGGATACAAGGAACATACCTCAACATCATAAAGGCCATCTATGACAAGCCAACAGCCAGTATCATTCTCAATGGTGAAAAGCTGAAAGCAATTCCATTAAGATCTGGAACAAGACAAGGATGTCCACTCTCACCACTGCTTTTCAATATAATACTGGAAGTCCTAGCCAGAGCAATAAGACAAGAGAAAGACATCCAAGGAATCCAAATAGGAAAAGAAGAAGTCAAACTATCACTATTTGCAGATGATATGATAATATACATAGAGAACCCCAAAAACTCCACAGAAAAACTAATTCAACTCATCAATCATTCAGTAAAGTGGCAGGATACAAAATCAACACGCAAAAGTCAGTAGCCTTCCTATACACAAACAATAAATCTGAAGAAGAAGAAATCAAAAAAACCACCCTTTTATTATCGAAACAAAAAAAATCAAATATTTGGGAATAAATCTAACAAAAGAGGTAAAGGACCTATACAAAGAAAACTATAAAACACTGTTAAAGAAATAGAAGAAGACACAAAGAAATGGAAAGACATCCCCTGCTCATGGATTGGAAGAATAAACATTATTAAAATGGCCATCCTACCAAAAGCAATATACAGATTCAATGCTATTCCAATCAAAATCTCAATGGCATTCTTCAAAGAAATAGAACAATTATTGATGAAATTCATATGGAATCACCAAAAACCCCGAATAGCCAAAGCTCTACTGAAAAAAAAAGAAGGAAATGGAGGCATCACACTCCCAGACTTCAAACTATACTACAAAGCCATAATCATCAAAACTGCATGGTATTGGAACAAGAACAGACATACAGACCAATGGAATCGAATAGAAAATCCAGAAATAAACCCACAGATTTATGGTCAACTAATCTTTGACAAAGGAGCAAAGACTATGCATTGGAGCAAAGAAAGTTTGTTCAATAAATGGTGCTGGGAAAACTGGGTCGCTACATGCAAAAGAATGAAGCTTGACCACTACCTCACACCATACACAAAAATCAACTCAAAATGGATTAAAGAACTAGACATAAGACCTGAAACCATAAAATACATAGAAGGAAATATAGGCGAAACACTACGGGATTTGCACATCAAAGACATCTTTACAGACACATCACCCAAAGCAGTGATAGTGAAGAGAAAGATCAACAGCTGGGACTACATCAAATTAAAGAGCTTCTGCACAGCAAAAGAGACAATAACAAAAACAAAGAGAAACCCCACCAACTGGGAGAACATTTTTGCACCCAACACTAATGATAAAGGACTGATCACAAAAATCTGCAAAGAGCTGATGAGACTCAACAACAACAAAGAAAATAACCCAGTCAAAAAATGGGCAGAAGAGCTAAAAAGAAACTTCTCTGAAGAGGAAATGCAAATGGCCAACAGACATATGAAAAAATGTTCAACATCACTTGTAATCAGGGAAATGCAAATCAAAACTACCATGAGATACCATCTCACACCAGTGAGAATGGCACATATTAAAAAAACTAGCAACAACAAATGTTGGCGAGGATGTGGAGAAAAAGGAACTCTTGTGCACTGTTGGTGGGAGTGCAAACTGGTCCAACCACTATGGAGAGCTGTGTGGAGATTTCTGGACCTACTAAACATAGAGCTTCCATATGATCCAGCAATTCCACTCCTAGGTATTTACCCAAAGGACACAGAAACATCAATTCCAAAGAGCACCTGCACTCCTATGTTTATAGCAGCACTGTTTACAATAGCTAAGCTTTGGAAACAACCCAAATGCCCAAAAATAGATGACTGGATCAAGAAGATGTGGTACATATATACCATGGAATATTACTCAGCATTCAAAAAAGATAAACACATGCAATTTGCAGCAACATGGATGGCACTGGAAGGGATCATGCTCAGCGAAATAAGCCAAAAAGAAAAAGAAAAATACCGGATGGTCTCACTCATAGCAGGAATCTAGAAAACTTAAATAAGGGACCAGGAAAATGAATATAAGAAAGTGAAAATCAAAATCAACAAAAAACTATGAACCAGAGACACTTTTTGGGGGGTGGGGGGCGGGAGGGGAAGGATTGGGGTCAGAATGGGGCGTTTGCAATTGTATGGGGGAATATAAAAATAAAATTTAATATTTAAAAAAAAAAAAAAATAAAATAAAAAAAAAAAAAAAAAAAAAAAAAAAAAGAAAACTGGGATGAAATTTTAATGATTGACTCTTAGATTCTGAGAGAAAATTAAGGGCTAAGAGGTGTAAATAATTGAAAGAAGCATTGTTTAATTTTGAATAAATAAAGCTTTTGTAATGTCTTTTACTTTTAAAAAATAGGTCTCTTGGGAAATATTCTCTAGCATTCATCAATTATAGTATGTTTTGTGTGTTGAGGTACTTCTTTCCTTCAATAAACTGTTTTCCATTACATACGTCAAACTGATGGAAGCAATGTCATTTTATGGAATAATTATATGTGAATATGTGATAAAGCAATTAAACCTCAAAATATTGCATGTTACAGTAGGGACTCATTACAGCAGGACTCTGTACAGAACTATTGTTTCTGAAACATAACTCATTCCAGTAAAAGTTTGAGCTAATGCTCAGTCTATAAATTGCATACCAGGCTAACAGACAGCCCCAAATAATTCTAACAAATGTTACTGCCTTAAATTTAAATCTCCTAATGTAGAGTTGAAGTGGCATTCAGTTTAGGAAAATCATTTTCACTCAGCATTGCTCAAGTTGATAAAATGCTGGAATACCAATTGTAATTCAAAAGACTATCTCGTGTTGCTTTAGACATTCCATGGAAATGGAAGAAAATGATGAAGAAGATAATGAAGAGGGCAGCCCATCCCGACAGAAAGAAGGGCCGAGTGGCCTCAGAAACCTTCAATCGGTCAGTTGGGTGATGCTTACACTCACATCTTCATGGAACTTAAAAAAAAATTGAACTTTAATTCATTGAACTTTAAAAATTATATTTATGCATACATAACATACTCATGTATTATATACAATATATATTATGTACATGCTTATGTATATATATTATTCATTATTAATATAAGATATATTTGGAATATATATTAATTATTGTTTTAAACAACATTACATGGTTTTTACAACAACGTGTTGTTTGTAACTGATTCAATAAGATCCCAGGTACTTTTTTTTAAGAGGAAATTCTCCAAGAGAAAACAAATTGCCACACCTTTTCCAAGCAAATGTCTTAGTTCTTGCAAGATTACAAATGGAACCAAAACTGAATCATGTAACAAATGCTAGCCAAGTGTGTGATTGGTTTTTGACCAAAAGTCTTATTGAAATATCCACTTTCCTAATTGCATTCCTTCCCCAAACTTCTTAAAATATAAAAAAGTGAGAACACAACTTATGAAAGGAGAAAATCAGGTTCTGCATAAAATGTTTGGTTTGTTTTACTTGGTGTGTGTTTTCACAATTTCTAAAAAAAAAAAGTCCTTGATACAAAGTTCTATGACTAATAAAGTGTTCCAGCCTAGTTATAAATCTCAGCAAAGGGAGGCTTAAATGGCAATTGCTGGGCAAGACAGTGCCCTTGCTGGAACACAGCTTTGCAGAAACAAAGAAGCATTCATGCATCCTTTCAGCCACTCCATACCCTGGTCTGTCACCCACAGAACTTAAAGTTGCTGGAGTTGTTAGTGCAGTTTGCTTGGAAAATTCAAAGGCATGGAAAGAAACACTAAAATGTTCTGGCACTTTTCTTCGCATTGGACTTTTGATAGACCAAAGATTCAATTGGCACATGTATTTGATTAGGTAATGGTGAGCTTTTACAATTTAACACAACTAAGAAACTTCAGACTCAACAGACAACCAATCTGGTTCCCTTGACTTGTTTGAATTTCACATTCTGTCTTAAAGCACAGAACTATCTTCTAACTAGAAAAATCAAATAACCATTTATTTATTTGTTTGTTTGTTTGTTTGTTTTTAAGTAAATTAATCACAAATTTATTTTTTATGATTACAAAATTATATGCAGTTTATTATTTTTTCATTTTTAATTCTTTCAACAAATGTATTTTTTATTTAAATTTTTTATATTTCCCATACGATTACACCCCCTTATTTTGCCTCAAGCCCTCCTTTCCCTGCCCCCCATTCCCCATAGTGTGTCTCTGGTTCATAGTTGTTTGTTGATTTTGATATTTTCTTTCTTATACTTATTCTTTTTCCTGGTCCCTTATTTAAGTTTTCTAGATTCCTGCTATGAGTGAGACCATCCGGTATTTTTCTTTTTCTTTCTGGCTTATTTTGCTGAGCATGATCCCTTCCAGCTCCATCCATGTTGCTGCAAATTGCATGTGTTTATCTTTTTTGAATGCTGAGTAATATTCCATGGTGTGTATGTACCACATCTTCTTGATCCGGTCATCTATTTTTGGGCATTTGGGTTGTTTCCAAAGCTTAGCTATTGTAAATAGTGCTGCTATAAACATAGGGGTGCAGGTGCTCTTTGGAATTGATGTTTCTGTGTCCTTTGGGTAAATACCTAGGAGTGGAATTGCTGGATCATATGGAAGCTCTATGTTTAGTAGGTCAAGAAATCTCCACACAGCTCTCCATAGTGGTTGAGCTGCTTGCAAGCTTCATTATCTTCTTCATCATTTTCTTCCATTTCCATGGAATGTCTAAAGCAACACGAGATAGTCTTTTGAATTACAATTGGTATTCCAGCATTTTATCAACTTGAGCAATGCTGAGTGAAAATGATTTTCCTAAACTGAATGCCACTTCAATTCTACATTAGGAGATTTAAATTTAAGGGGTTTGCACTCCCACCAATAGTGCAGGAGAGTTCCTTTTTCTCCACAACCTTGCCACCATTTGTTGTTGCTAGTTTTTTTTTAATATGTGCCATTCTCACTGGTGTAAGATGGTATCTCATTGTAGTTTTGATTTGCATTTCCCTGATTACAAGTGATGTTGAACATCATAAGACCTGAAACCATAAAATACATAGAAGGAAATATAGGCGAAATACTACATGATATGCACATCAAAGATATCTTTACAGACACATCACCCAAAGCAGTGATAGTGAAGGCAAAGATAAACAGTGGGACTACATCAAATTAAAGAGCTTCTGCACAGCAAAAGAGACAATAACAAAGACAAAGAGAAGCCCCACCGACTGGGAGAACATTTTTGCATACAACACTAATGATAAAGGACTGATCACAAAAATCTACAAAGAGCTGATGAGACTCAACAACAACAAAGAAAATAATCCAGTCAAAAAATGGGCAGAAGAGCTAAAAAGAAACTTCTCTGAAGAGGAAATGCAAATGGCGAACAGGCATATCAAATAACCATTTAAAACCATGTTTCACTATTTAAATTAAACTTACACGGACACACACACCACGGTAATCATACTGTACAGATCGGCTCCTTCTTTGCAGGTGGTAATCTTATGTTAAGGCCTAAATAGAGAGACTACTTTGATTCTTTACTGGCTTTTAAGGAATGTTACAGAGAATGTTCTGTTGGAAAAGGAGAAATAAAAATAGTGTAAGAGTGGATTAGCATATTCCAGGGACACAAGGATGGTTTAACATCCGAAAATCAATCAACGTTATCCAACACATCAACAAAAAGAAATATAAAAACCATATGATAATATCAATATGCTGAGAAAGCTTTCAACAAAGTGCAACACCCATTCATGATAAAAGCCCTTGAAATTCTTGGGATACAAGGAACATACCTCAACATCATAAAGGCCATCTATGAGAAGCCAACAGCCAGTATCATTCTCTCAATGGTGAAAAGCTGAAAGCAATTCCATTAAGATCTGGAACAAGGGCCTCCCTGGTGGCTCAGCGGTTGAGCGCTGGGTTGCGAAGCTGCCCGCGGCCTCTGCGACGCCGGTTCGATCCCCGGCTGCTCCCTGGCCACCGGAGGAGGGTCCCACATGGCGCGCAGACCTCTCCTGCCGCCCGCTGCTCCCCTCAGCAGTGTACTTCGGTCCTTCTACCTGTTCTGCTCCCCACTCTGCTCTGGTGAATTCTCTCACCCTCCCGTGCTTCTGACTGTACCCAGTGCTTGTATAAATAAATAAATAAATCTTAAAAAAAAAAAAAGATCTGGAACAAGACAAGGATGCCCACTCTCACCACTGCTTTTCAATATAATACTGGAAGTCCTAGCCAGAGCAATAAGACAAGAGAAAGACATCCAAGGAATCCAAATAGGAAAAGAAGAAGTCAAACTATCACTATTTGCAGATGATATGATAATATACATAGAGAACCCCAAAAACTCCACAGAAAAACTAATTCAACTCATCAATCAATTCAGTAAAGTGGCAGGATACAAAATCAACACGCAAAAGTCAGTAGCCTTCCTATACACAAACAATAAATCTGAAGAAGAAGAAATCAAAAAAACCACCCCTTTTATTATCGAAAAAAAAAATCAAATATTTGGGAATAAATCTAACAAAAGAGGTAAAGGACCTATACAAAGAAAACTATAAAACACTGTTAAAAGAAATAGAAGAAGACACAAAGAAATGGAAAGACATCCCCTGCTCATGGATTGGAAGAATAAACATTATTAAAATGGCCATCCTACCAAAAGCAATATACAGATTCAATGCTATTCCAATCAAAATTTCAATGTCATTCTTCAAAGAAATAGAACAATTATTGATGAAATTCATATGGAATCACAAAAAACTCTGAATTGCCAAAGCTCTCCTGAAAAAGAAAGAAGGGAATGGAGGCATCACACTCCCAGACTTCAAACTATACTACAAAGCCATAATCATCAAAACTGCATGGTATTGGAACAAGAACAGACATACAGACCAATGGAATCGAATAGAAAATCCAGAAATAAACCCACAGATTTATGGTCAACTAATCTTTGACAAAGGAGCAAAGACTATGCATTGGAGCAAAGAAAGTTTGTTCAATAAATGGTGCTGGGAAAACTGGGTTGCTACATGCAAAAGAATGAAGCTTGACCATTACCTCACACCATACATAAAAATCAACTCAAAATGGATTAAAGAACTAGACATAAGACCTGAAACCATAAAATATATAGAAGGAAATATAGGCGAAACACTACGGGATTTGCACATCAAAGACATCTTTACAGACACATCACCCAAAGCAGTGATAGTGAAGGCAAAGATAAACTGCTGGGACTACATCAAATTAAAGAGCTTCTGCACAGCAAAAGAGACAATAACAAAAACAAAGAGAAACACCACTGACTGGGAGAACATTTTTGCATCCAACACTAATGATAAAGGACTGATCACAAAAATCTGCAAAGAGCTGATGAGACTCAACAACAACAAAGAAAATAACCCAGTCAAAAAATGGGCAGAAGAGCTAAAAAGAAACTTCTCTGAAGAGGAAATGCAAATGGCCAACAGGCATATGAAAAAATGTTCAACATCACTTGTAATCAGGGAAATGCAAATCAAAACTACCATGAGATACCATCTTACACCAGTGAGAATGGCACATATTAAAAAATCTAGCAACAACAAATGTTGGCGAGGGTGTGGAGAAAAAGGAACTCTTCTGCACTGTTGGTGGGAGTGCAAACTGGTCCAACCACTATGGAGAGCTGTGTGGAGATTTCTTGACCTACTAAACATAGAGCTTCCATATGATCCAGCAATTCCACTCCTAGGTATTTACCCAAAGGACACAGAAACATCAATTCCAAAGAGCACCTGCACACCTATGTTTATAGCAGCACTGTTTACAATAACTAAGCTTTGGAAACAGCCCAAATGCCCAAAAATAGATGACTGGATCAAGAAGATGTGGTACATATATACCATGGAATATTACTCAGCATTCAAAAAAGATAAACACGTGCAATTTGCAGCAACATGGATGGCACTGGAAGGGATCATGCTCAGTGAAATAAGCCAAAAAGAAAAAGAAAAATACCGGATGGTCTCACTCATAGCAGGAATCTAGAAAACTTAAATAAGGGACCAGGAAAATGAATAACTATAAGAAAGTGAAAATCAAAATCAACAAAAAACTATGAACCAGAGACACTTTTTGGGGGGTGGGGGGCGGGAGGGGAGGGATTGGTGTCAGAATGGGGGGGGTTGCAATTGTATGGGGAATATAAAAATAAAATTTATTATGAAAAAAAAGAGTGGATTAGCATAACAGTTCTCAACATTTTTCATACCCAATTCCCCATTTTTAATTCCCCAGAGCATTTGTCTATTAAAATACTTAAAACAGAAGTTTTTTCCATGAGCCTTTAAAAAAAAAAAAAAAGGTTTAAAAGCACAAGAGGTACACCAGACATGAAAGGTCAGCCATAGTCTCTATGTCATTCTGCTGCCCCATTTTTTTTTTTTAGTTTTCCCTGCCAGTACCTCCTTCTCACACCCACACCACCCAGCACCCTTCCAGGGACATGTCAGAGAATGCAGTGAAGTGAGGACACATGTGCACCTGTGTTCTCAGGGGGAGTGAGTTCTCCATTTAACCATTGGGCAACATACTTAGCTGGGACTCAGTTTTCCTCAATTTGAAATAAGGGTGTTGGAGGAGATATTAACAACCATAAAGTCCTATGGACTAAGATAAATTAAATCACATTTGGACCTAAAATCACCTTTTAAAATAGTTTCTATAATTACGTAAAAATTCCCCCATTCAATTATTTTTCAATGTACTCTCTTTATTGTTGGTCCCTGTCTTCTCCTGATTCCTTAGCCATACTCCTCTCTCTGCCCTATGCTTCACCCCTTCACCCCCCTGCCCTGTTCACTTTTTCCTTTATCATCCCCTCATTGTCATGAAATACTGCTCTGTCTTCACTGTTTAACCCCAGCAAATGATTTCAGAAAGCACTGCTTGATTTTGAAATCATTTGGTGTATAAAGTAAGTAGAAAATGCTGTTGTTAAATCAATGTCTCATATATCTTTACTCAAGCTCAAAATGTTAGAATGATATTTCTAACATGCAATATGTAGTTACTTAGTAAGCACCTAATGTAATTAATTGAAGATATAAATCAGGCAGGATTGTTTTGACTATGTTTCAATTTTTTTTTAATTTAAAAATATTTCAGGCTTACTGAAAGTTACAGAAAATAATAGAAGATACTGACCACTGATCTTTGTCAAATCTGAATTTTCTGAAATATTTGCTTTAACTTTCAAAAAATAAAATATTGCAGATGCAGTTAGTCTTCTGTATACCCCCTCCTATCCCATCCTATTTCTCTTGCTCTGCCTCCCGTGACTGCACTATTTTACGTTGAATGTTTTGCCCTCACATCTTTGATAACCTATAACCTATATTACTACCTATGAATATGTAGTAAACAAAACACAGTTCTAATGTCTGTTTTAGATTTTATACTAATGACTGCATGCCATCTTTAAATCAATGTCGAGTCATCCATGTTGACACAAGGAGTTCAAGTTCATTCATTCTATTTGAGGTATGGCATTCTTTTATATAAATATACCCTGATTTATACATTTTACTTTTAGTGGCTATTTAGGTGGCTTCTAGTTGTTTGTTCTTGGACATGGTGTTAGAATGAACGTTCTTGCATCTGTTTTCTTAGGCACCTGTGTGAGAATTGCTGAGGGTTATAAAATGTATATCTTATTTATTTTTTTTATATTCTTTTTCAAAAAAGATTTATTTACTTATTTATCCAAGAACCAGGGTATAGGCCAGATGCGCGGGAGGGTGAGAGGATTCACCAGAGACAGAGTGGGGAACAGAACAGGCAGACTGACGAAATACACTGCTGAGGGGAGCAGCGGGCATGACAGGAGAGGTCTGCAGTGCCATGTGGGACCCTCGCCTACTGGCTGGGATCAAACCAGCACTGCAGAGGCTGCGGACAGCTTCACAGCACGGCACTCAAATGCCTGCACCACCAGGGATGCCCTAAAATGTACATCTTAACCTAAATATGTATTTTTAAATTGTACTCAAAAGTGTGCCAACTTACACTCCCACTACGAGTTTCTCCGGTTCCACTTCCAGACCAGCACTTGGCACCAGGAGACTTTCACATTTTTTTCTGATCAGATATATGGAAATGCTAGCTTGTTCTGCTTGTAATTTATAGTTCTCTGATTGCAGGTGAGGTTGAAGATTTTTGTTTCAAGTTAATTCAATTTTTCCTATGCCTTCCTTATAAGATCCTTTGCCCACTTTGCTTTTGAATTGTCTTCATTCTACTTAAAACTTCCCTTATGGGTTGTGTGAGATAGGTATGTGATTTTTTTCCCAGAAGATTAATCAGTTTTTCCATCATCAATTATTGAATCGTTTGTCCTTTCCCCACTGACTGGTGATGTTCTATGCAATTTCCATGTATGAATGGTTCTGCTTTGCAACACTACTTGATGTTATTGATCTATTTTCTTATCACTGAAACAAAATTAATTATAATAACCATAATCTTAATTATCATAGCTTTGTATTATTATTATTATTGCTGTTGTTTTTATAAAACAACTTTGTTTAGACTTATCTACTTAGTTACTAATGTCTTTGCTCACTATTTCTTCTTGTATCATACATCTTTCTGGGATTCTTTTTCTTTGGCTTGATCCCTTAATAATAGATTTTTCAGTGAGATTTTCAGATTGTAAACTTTCTCCATTTTTGTTTGGAACAAAATGATTTATTTCATACTCAAGCTATAATAATAGTTACCTGTATATAGACTTTTTGATTGACTGTTTTTTCCCAACAGCTTGATAACATGGGTCTACTTCACCGTGACTTGTATTGTTACCATTGAGAAGTTTGCTGTGAGTATAATTGTCATCCTTGTGTATAATTTTTTTTCACTGATTGCTCTGAACATCTCTTCTCTGTCTGTGATGTGCTGCAATTACACTACCATGTGTCCCTGTGGGTTTTTATTAAGCATTCTTAGCACGCCTGTGATACCCAAATCTGAGGATTCTTATCTTTCATTATTAGATATTAGACAATTCTTAGCCATTATCTCTTAAAGTTACAGACAATTTGAGCAGCTTCAATCTGTACCTCTCTTAGGTTGTCATGCATGTCTTGCAGAGGAGTTGTGGTAAGTGCATCTGTGTGTATAAAGCTGTGAGAACATTCATTTTCCTCTGGTATAAAAGCTTTAACACTTGGTACCTGGGGGCCAGGTCTATAATTTTGATATGTGATAGGCAAGTTACCATGGTGCTTCTGCTTTGGACTCAGTGTAAGCAATAATAGCCAATCATGGTTTTGATGTACTAGTTTTATTTTCTGGACACACATTAAAATGAAATAATTCATCCAGGTGACAACTAGCTCAAACCTCTAATGTCCTCCACATACACTTGGAAAATCCTGATCTGAGCCAAAGCAAAATCCCTTTGTTAGAGTAATCAATGAAGTTGGCCTATGGGTAAAACTAGCCATTGAACATATTTTCAAGAAGAATATTACAACCAGACATTTCATTGGAAAGGTCGTATTAGAGCTAGAGATCATATTAGAGAATGGAGTTCCAAGATACTGATTCCGAATGCAAGATGATACAGACTGAGGCCAGGGTAGTAGCCCAGGGACAGATAATCACACTCACATTGGATGTGACTGTTAACTAGTCTTATGGACACAGAGTAGCTGAAGCATATTTCTATGGTAGAATGGATAGAATTTTTTTAAAGATTTATTTATTTATGCATACAAGAACTGGGGTTTAAGCCAGAGGTATTGGGGTAAGAGGACTCACCAGAGAGGGTGGAGAGCAGAACTGGCAGATCTACTGAAATACACTGCTGAGGGGAGCAGCGGGTGGGGTAGGAGAGGTGTGCTGTGCCGTATGTTGCTCCTTGGCTGGCCGGGAATGGAACTCATGATGCAGAGGCTGCGAATAGCTTCATAGTTCTGTGCTTAAGAACTTGCGCCATCTGGAAGGCCCTAGAATCTACAGACTTAATAAACAGTTGGAAGGGTGGAGTGAGAAAGAGGGTGTTTCAGGGAGATTGGATAGAAGAGGGTGCCACTAAGTCAGTTGGCCTGTATGATAAGCAGGTGTTTCATTTTTCCTTTTTGTTCCAATGAAAGGCAACTGTAAACCATTCACTCAAAAAGGGACATTTTTTTTAAAGAGATTAACATTATTATTTCTTCAGCTGAGTTATTTCCTCACAGTTGTATAGTCCATATTGGAGGTATTTAAAAGTGTTGATTTGGGGACAAGAGAAAGAGTGAAACTCAGGTGTTACATAGCTTGAAACATCTATTATTTTATAAGATGATGATTGGGGAAAGTTCTCAGAAAAATAATACAAAAATATCTTGCTTATTCAAATTTTGCAAGAGCATTTGGCCAAGTACATGTTTGCCTCACCAAGGCCTTGGGAAAAGCTCATGCAAAGGCATGTCTGGAGAATTGCAGCTTCATTATCTTCATCGTAAATATACCTCTGCAGCTGGTAACTAAGGAGAAAGGAAGGTAGCTCTCCCTTACTCCATATTCAGTTTTGGAAAATTGTTCCTGAAGTAAACAAACACAGGACTCTGGAGATCACTTCAATAGCTCTTTACACAAAGACCCCAGTGATAAATCCAAACCATATAGGGTCAGAGGGTAGAAAAACATGCACTGTGTCCCTGACCCACTTTCTTCAACTCCATTCAGAAGAATACAGAGCTTCACTGTTCTGATCTCTAAGGTGTCCCTGGTCATAAACTCCCCCCTTCCTAGGGCTTCCTTGTCCCCTTCTCCCCATAGTCCCTCTATGAAAGCAGTATGAAGGGATCTCAAAACATTAAAAATAGAACTACCCTATGGTCTAGCAGTTCCACTTTTGGATGTTTAACTGAAGAAAATTAGTTTTCAAAACTAATTTGAAAAGCTACATATGATCCACACAATCATTGCAACATTATTTACAATAGGTAGGACCTGGAAACAGCCTAAATGTCCATCGTTGGATAAATGGATAATGAAGTTGAGATAATATCTACAATGGGCTATTTTTAAACCATAAAAAAGAAGAAAATCATGCCATTTGTAGGACCATGGAACATGGGTGGACCTTAAAGCATTATGCTAATGAAAAAAAGTCAAAGAGAAAAAGACACTTTTCATCTTACTTATATGTAGAATCTAAATAAACCAACAAAACCAAAGCAAAAACAAAAAATACACACTCATAGATACAGAGTAAAGATTGGTGGTTGTCAGGGTTGGGGATGTGGCTGGGCAAAATGGGTTAAGAAGGGCAAAAGTTACAAACATCCAGATATAAAATTAGTAAGTCATGGGAGTACAGCATGGTGATTATAATGTCATCATCTTTTCCTTTTTTTTTTTTTTTTCCTATACCATGGTCATTTCTCAAGATAAATCATGGCTATTTTTCTTTTGGGAGTAAATACTGGTCTCGTACTTAAACTACCCTGCGCTATAATCTGTCCCAGAAGATTCCTCCTTGTCACTAATGGAAAAAGTTAGAAGACAGAGGTCAGGATACAATTTCTCAATCTTTAGAGAATGAGGAACCTTTGAGTTAAAGCTTTCTTTACATTGTTTAGCAATGAATCATAACTGATTCAGGGCCCACTATTTTTACTCCTAAAGGACTGAAATCTTGATTTCTAAATTGACAACAGTATGAAAGAGAAAGTCTCTTTGAGCAGCTAGTATCCTCTTAAATCAGTTATTTTTGTATCTCTCCAGAAATGATCTTGCAGAGGACTAATGACATATAATTAGATTTATAGAGCAACACAACCCACATCATCTTATTTGATTTTACTAATATGTTTACTGATTATGCGGAGGAAAATAATTGTTGTTCCCATTTCAAAAATAAAGTGGCACAAAACCATTTCAGAAACCTGTGCGATTCCTTCCCCCACTCCCTTCCACTTGTCTGAGTGCCAGTGTTCTTAATCTGATCCACAGATCACTGGCAAAAACAGGAAGTGAGTCCATGGCTTTGATTCCATATTCACTGGGCTTCCTGGGCTCTGCTCTGCCTCATGGATTAAGTTGGTAGCTTCTTTCCTATTCCCTGGTTTGCCTGTTTTGAAATGTTTTATGCATTTATTTGGAAATTCCTCTATTGGAAATACAGTACAGTCATTCCAGTCTTTTAAAGTGGCTGTGAAATGACTGGTTCTTGTTTTCTGGTGTGTGCTAGAATAATCTAGAGCTGGAAAGGGCATTAAGTACTCTGAGAGAGATCCCCAGTAGGTGAGAAGGGACCACCTATGAGGAAGTGGACATGCATCTCAATATAAACACCACCAATAAGCATTGTCTAGAAATCAATACATGCTAAGTCTGGAGATACAAGGAGACAATGAATGAATGAATGAGACATTGCCCTCAGGGAGCTTATAATGAAATGTAGGGCATAAATATGAAAGTAAATAAAAACAAAGTACCAAGGCTAGGTTACATTTTTCAAATTGGGTTGTGTGGCCCAGATGCCCAAAAATAAATGACTGGATCAAGAAGATGTGGCATATACACACAATGGAATATTATTCAGCAATCAAAAAAGGTAAACTCATGCCATTTGCAGCAATGTGGATGGAACTAGAAGGAATTATGCTCAGTAAAATAAGCCAGAAGGAAAAAGAAAAATATCGGATGGTTTCACGTGTAGCAGGAATATAGGGGAACCAAATAAGACATCAGTGTAAAAAAAATAATAACAGTACAAAACACAAAAAAGCAAAAACAGACCATTATAAATCAGAGACATCCTGCAGGGGAGGAGGAGGGAGAGGAATCGGAGGGAGGGAGGAGCACAGAGGACTGAGATGATGGTGCACGGGTGCATTGATGAAGGAAACTCTATGGGGACGACACCTGAGGGGGTGGGGGGAAGCAAATAGTTTAAAAATGAACAATGATGTAAAAAATAAAAAAATAATAATATAAAATTTAAGAAAACAAATTGCAGAAGAAAATTGGGGACAAAACATTTTACATTAATGTCAATGGGCAATGTGGAACTCAAAGGAAGGAGCGATAATATTAAGACTCTGGGCTGGTGAGGTAGACCTTGTGGAGGAGGTGGGCCATGTGGGGGAAACTTCAAGGACATTGGCACATAGACAAATGGAAGGAAGTGGGGGAGGGATCCCAACAAAAGGGAGGAAATGGTGTGGATGTGGGAAGCCATTAGCAATGTTGGTTGGAACAGAGGAATTAAATAATCTTGTGGAGTATATAAGAGCAAGGTGGTAGAGGGCTTTGAATGCCTGCTACGGAAATAGGGTTTTATAGTTATCACCTGACTATGGAATGGTCTGAACTTGGATGATTGCAATTTTACCTACCACCACATTTTTAAAACATTCTTGAAATAAGATTTCTCTTCTCCACTCTTCAACAAACGTTTTAAGCAGCGTTCTTAATTTTCAGGGCACATCCAGGACTTCTACTAAATCTAAATAAACATTCCACTCCCTCTCCCCATTTCTCCTTTTTATCCTCAGCACAGGCCAGACACACAGTCTGATAACTGGCACTGGATGAGGGTCTGGCCTATCCTTGTTCTACTACATCTTTGCACCACTGTTCTTGGCCTCTTCAGGGTTAGAGAACAGGGATGTGGGGGGAGAAGGGATTAGAGAAAAGGAGGCACATCTGGGGATGTTTGTCATTCTTTTTTGCTACCTGATGCATGGCAGGCATCCAAGGCTGGCTCCTTTCATGTTGGCAAGGTCTTTGGAAGCCCCACTTTATGGCCTGACATGGCACTGTTCTGGGGCTCCCCAGCTCCATCCT